GACGGGGAGCGCTTGGTGAGCACTGCGTTTGAGCAGAAACTCTCCTGAGAGCTCAAGTGCTCAGGAACAAGCCCGATTTCTACCTGCCCCAACTCAACATGCCCCAACTCTAATGGGTTATCTCAAAATCCAAATCCAGGGCTGACCAGCATTTCATGGCATGAACTCATCTTTAATCGCTGCCAGGACCTGTTCTGAACTAACAACGCTAAACTTAAAAAAAAATCTTCTCTCTCACACTCTCCGCACATTTCTGGGTGTTGTTATGTCCAATGACACTGCTACGGGTCTTTTGACCAAGTAGAGAGACTAAGATATGGTTGTCTTTAACTATAAGCAAGTTTATTAAACTTTAACAGTTGCAACTTTAACTCAAAAAGCCAAAATAACCTTAGCAGTTACAATTCTATTTCTGTAGTTACTTAAAAACGATGCAGCACGCAAGATATAACGACCATGACGTCACTGGTTGATTAGGCCAGGAGGTCTTGTTGGGGCTTCCAGCTCCTACATCTGAGTTCTGCCCAGAGTAGACTTTTGGTCGGAGGATCAACGTCAAGGATTTTCTGAGTGGGACTTGCAAAGAACCAAAGTTGGCTTTTCAAATTTATACCTGTCCTGTTTACATCGCTCCACTTCTTCTCTTAACATACACCCTTTTTTACAGTCGTTCATTTGCATCACACATGTCTATAGCAACCTTATATTTTACTTAACAGCTATTTCTTGTATGGCTTGTTTTGCCTTAGAGGGTCTCTGTCTGCCAAGATCATATATTGTTTTTCTCCTTTTAACCAATTTCTCAGTATTCTTAATTCATCTTGACTTAGCAAAACCTGCATTTCACGTAAACAACCCCCATGGCTGGGCAAGAGTCAAGCTACTTCTGTCAAGATGCCTGTACTTATGTCAAAGGCCTTTATTCTAGGCTAACAGTCTTCATGCCTCTCAGCTGGCCTAGAAGAATTAATGCCAAAGCAACCTTCCTCATTAGGTTTCTGTACTGGGAGGTGGACTGTCCCTGGTGCAGGGAGCTGACCAGAAGTTAGGATCCAGCTTTAGGCAAGTTTACCTCCTTAATGTTCAAGCATGCTTGGATGTGTGATTTGGAGTGATGTGTCTCCACTTTATGGGGGTGGCCAATGTTATTAAAACACTGGGCCCCACAGGTGGCCATGGACAACCAACACATCCATCTCACTGGCTGATATGTTTTCGAATGGGATGGAGGGTTTGCATTTTCCCAGCTTCACCTATCCTTGTTTCCAATGTAGGCATTCACGCTAGTAAGGCTCAACGGGCAGTAGGCCAGGCCTGTGTGCAGAAGGGACTCCAAGTGTCAGTGCAAGGGACACAGTAGCAGACAGGCCTGATGGTTGAAGCCTTCTATTTCCAGGGCACTAAACCTTTCATCTGAGGAAGACCGCTGCAGTGGGAGCTCCCTCTCAATCTTCAATTTGGCCAGCTTCAGTGTGGGTGGGCATTCATTTTCCTGTCTAAAAATAACCATTATTTCCAACCCAGGCCAGCTCCAAGCTGGACCTCTTCTCATCTGAGGCAACCAGCTGCATCAAACTTTGCCAAATTATGTATGATCATTTCCTAATGTGAAGTAACAACCATTAGAAGTGCCAAGACAAGAGCTTGTTTCCCTTACAAGTTGCCCTTTGACTCCTAATGTTATTTTAATGATGGACTCCCCGATGCATTATCAGCTACGCCACCCAAGCATCTGAACTGTCCCAGTGGGATGACTTCATCAGAGCTGAGCTAATGTTGATCAGAGAATTCAAAGCAGTAAAGAGAAGTGACTTTCGCTTCACGGCAGAATGTAGGGCTTTAACTGGGTAGGGGAAAATCAGTGCAAGTCAGTTATTTGAAATGCCCATTCAAAGGAAAGTGTCTGCCCAGTGCCCATAAATTTGATTCCTTTAACAGATTTGGTGTCAGGCATGAAAGATGTCATCACACAGGCCAGTGCCACAGAAAATCATAAAAGGAACACAAAAAGTGCACCAGGAATTCCCTACCACTCTCAACATGCCCGAGATGGGCAGTATCGATTAGGTCAATACCCATCAGGTGCAGTACCAGCAAATGTCCATTCTCACTCTTCTTGACCTCAATGCTGCTTTTGTGTCACCTTCAGTCTCCTTGAAATCTTGCCAGCCTTGGCTCTCATGCATGACTCTGTCCCATCCCAGCTCCATGTGTACCATATGCATGGAACTTCCCCTGTGAATCGGTCCATGGGGCAGGCGCCATTTTCTCCATCCACATCTCTTGTTAGGGGCCATTTCTGCCTTGACATCTGGAAGGAATCAGCCAACCAGCGATGGTAAGGTGAAACGGCAGTCATGAAGACCTTATCTTTCAAGGCCTTATTTATGTGTGTGCAAGTACATAGCAATCGGCAGAAATTGTGGTGTATTCATTTCTCCATTCTGATTATGTTTGTTCATCTTCTTAGATGGTCAGATGTGTGGGGTTTGCATTGTGTCTACCTAGGGACTGGCTCAACGCCTAATTCACTGGAGCCCTATCTTGTTTGTGGCCCTGGGTGCCACTGTAATAACAACATTAGTAGCAATCGCCTGAAAGAGAGCAAGAGGGTCCCTTGCAAGAGGCTTTGAAGAACATGAGTAGATGCCTAGAAATAAAAAACAAAAGAATGGAAAAGGCACAGAAGAAAATATACTTCCAAAGATGATACCAGATGGAGAACAAGGATGTGGCTAGATGGGAGAGGAAGGGGATCTGGAGGGCAAAAAGAGTGAAAGCCTTTAAAGAAAATATGGGGTGATCTGGAGGGCTGAAAGAGTGAAAGCCTTTAAAGAAAATATGGGGATGGAATACAGGAACGGGACAGCATATTATATCTTCTTCTGGATACTGCCACATTTCAGGCATCCCCAGCTGCGCACACACCTTGCAATCATACCTTGAGGGTGCTGATAGATGAAGGGCTGTGAAGACTTCAGAAAGTCTGGATATGCACTGAGTCATTGCTGCACTCGAGCTCACCTAATAGATTCACATCACTAACGGAGGATTAAACTGGCTGCTGCATTTTTGCTCAGCGCACAGAGCAGTCAGTACCGAGCAGTCATGTGCAAAGAATGTAATGCAGATAAGCATCACATCTGCACGACTTGTCAGAAGGGTGTTGGGGACAACCTACTCCCAGCACCAAGCATCAGCATCTGCTACGTTGGATGTTTAATCCTTCCAGCTACAAGGTTGTCATTCACGCCTGCATTTCCCCTTTGTGCGAGCTAGGCCACAGAGATGAGGGGACAGGGAAAGTGCCCCAAAGAGACAGCTGAGTGAAAGGTGCCCATCACGGAGTGGTGCTTAGCGGTGCAGTATCTGGAGAAGCATAGAAAAGACCCTCCCCGCTCCCCCACCACCACCACTGGAGACCTAAAATCCAGGTCTCCTGTTTCCTTTGCTGGGATGTCTCACCTCTGTCTGCTTTAAGGGGTGAGGTGGGAAGTGGAGACCAAGATACATTCCCAGAGGGGGTTGAAACCCCCCTCCATTCACAATAACAGCAAAGGCTCTTTGGAAACATGACGAAAAAAGCTATGGTCTTTAGGCTTATTTGCAATAAGTGGAAATGAATTAGGTGCCCCCTCCAAAAACATCTAGAGGGTATAAAAATAACTCAAAATTTATGCCAAAGGCCAAATCACTCCCAAAATATAGTTCCCATTCTTAATGGACAACGGTGACTGAGACCTAAGTGGACCTGAAAGTTTAGGGCCAAAATATCTGCAGGAGTAAGTCCATTATCCTTGGTTGAATTGCGCTTTATAGGAATTTAGTTTCCTGATGTATACAGGGGTTGTAAGACTCTGTGTTGGTGCAGATCTGCTCCTTCTGTCTATCTTATGCCAGGCTCATTGCTGGCAGTCAAAGAATTATACTCAATATCGGTGGCGCAGAATCTGAGGTCTTTATTCAGTGAATGAGTTAAAACCTATTAAGGACTTCAAGATGTCAAAACCCATTAAGGACTTACATACAGACTGGGGAGTTTCCTTCTTGAAAGCACAGGCGGAAAGGGATCTTGGAGTCATTATTGACTCCAAGATGAACATGAGCCGCTAATGCCAGACCTCAGCCAGCAAGGCCAGCCATACCTTGTCATACGTCCAAAGGTGCATCTCAAGCCGGTCCAGAGAGGTGATCCTCCCCCTCTATGCGACTTTGGTCAGGCCACAGTTGGAGTACTGCATCCAGTGCTGGGCGATGCACTTCAAGAGGGATGTGGCCAGCCTGGAGAGGGTGCAGAGGAGGGCCACCCGCTTGGTGCGAGGGCAGCAGGACAGGCCCTACGAGGAGAGACTGAAGGACCTGAACCTGTTCAGCCTTTGCAAGAGGAAGCTGAGGGGGACCTGGTGGCTGCCTACAAGCTCATCAGGGGAGATCAAAAGCAAATAGGCAGAGCTCTTTTCTCCCCAGCACCACCTGGGGTGACGAGGAACAATGGTCATAAGCTGATGGAGAATAGGTTTAGGTTGGGGATCAGAAGGCAATATTTTACAGTTAGGGCGGCCAAAATCTGGAACCAACTTCCCAGGGAAGTGGTCCTCGCCCCTACCTTAGACAAATTCAAGAGGAGGTTGGATGATCACCTGTCTGGGGTCTTGTGAACCCAGCATTCATTCCTGCCTGTGGCAGGGGGTCAGGCTAGATGATCTGTTCAGGTCCCTCCTGACCCTAGCTACTATGATACTATGATACTACAATGTGGCCTCTAAGTTTCAGACTGCAAATGTTTCCAGAGGTATTGAATCAAGGGCCACGGGAGTGGGATGAGGCTACGTTTTGGGAGCATCATTGTTCTGGGCTAATAATTGCAAATGGCCAGATCTAGAAAGCCACAGATTTTATGGGATTAGGATCCAAGTACTCAAGAACTGGCCTCCAGCCCTCGTCTGGGAGCTGCTCTTACTTATGCCCACAGGCTGGGCTGTGGAGCCGTGTCCCAAGCGAAGGTGCTGGACCCTCCTGCCATGTGTGCAGCCACGCTAGCTGAAAGCAGTGCTAGTGCTGAGAGTTGATTGACACAGAGGATGTTTTCCTCTGACTCCAGATGTGTTTTTGCACTGCAGGAACTATGTTTAAAAGGCTTGGTTCAGTCATGTGTCCCTTTCCCTCAAAGAGCTGTCAGCTTTTGTGCAAGAGCTCTGACCTCGGAAGATGCCGAGGTCCCTTTCAGACCCCATGCTGCACAATACATGGCCAGTGCAAAGTGGGGGAAGGTTCAGGACTGACTTTGGGAAGCTCTGGGAAAGGCTTCCTGAGCTGCATGTGATGGGACCGCAGCTCCTTCCAGTTGTAAACCCGTGTCGCTGGATGCCATCAGAGCTGACGTGGGTAAGCACAGGAAATCCTGTGTGGCAGGAAGCGTGTCTCCTTCCCCAGTGAAACGCATCAAGCATGTTCTCAAGTTCTCTCATTGCTTGGGTCCGATCCAAGTTTTAACCCCCAGTCAGAGGCTCCTGTTAAAGATCCCATTTCAAGTGTAGTCTTCCAATAGCTGGTCCAAGCCAGGACTTGGTTACAGCCAATGACAGCACGAGCTGTTATATGAAAGATTTAAAATATGAGAGGCACTTAATTAATTTAACCACAACATTTTCACACATATTTATTGATGTTTTTAATTATTTATCCTAATGCAACTATTGGCCTGATGAGGGGTTTGGGACTGGTGCTTTTTTAAGTTGTTCTACTGGCTCCAAAATGGTTTCCTTTTTTTTCTTTTTTTTCTTTTTTTAGCTAGCTTATTACATGCAGGGGATGTTTCCTGATTTGAGCATTGCTCTGAAGCTACAGGACGGTGATTGAGCACACATCACCAAAAGCTGCAATGGGTATCCCCGTAGATAGGGTGTGTAGGATTACCCTTAAAAAGTTAAGCCAGGTTTGCCTTTCATAGGTATCTGAGACACCTGTAATTTCCTGTTCTATTGAAAGGAAAACGATGGAAACTATTGCTGTTGAAAAAAAAAATCTGTCCCTTTGAGGGCTGTTTGGAGTTTTTTGAGAATTGTTGTTGTTTTAATATTAAAGAGCAACCTCATTGGACTTCACTTCATTTGTTGTGCGAGCTGAATGATGTCAGCAGATTAAAACCAGCAGTGAATTAGACACATGCCATTTGTCTTTCTTGGAAGATAACATTGTCCTTTCCAGCTGAAGCTCTGTTGGATTTCCTAATACAGGGTAGGGTGTTAAAGCATTCATCCAACAGAAAGGACCTTGGCTCGACAAGTCAGGCACTATGTAAGAAATCTGGGCTTTGAGACAATTCCAGCTGTACTTTACCAAGATTAAATAAAGCTTAAAAATCTACTTCCTCTTGAAATGCCTTCTTCCACTGGATGCATGTCCTCTGTATGATCCAAGTGGTAGCGTTACATCGCTATGCATGCATGTGCTTCCCAAAGTAGAACGCATCCACAGGAAAGGGCTGCCTTTGTTTGCCTGACGTTGGATAATAAATCCATCAGATCTTTCCTGTATTGCAGGCATTTCCAGCTGCTCAGGGAGTGGATGAAGCCCCTGCTACAGGCACATTAAGAGCGGAGCTGAAAAAATACTGGAGTGAAAAGGTGAGATTTAATAACATTTTTTACAGGGCCAAATTTTACTCTTAATTATATTTGTACAACCCCCTTGATGCCAGCTGAGTTGCATATTAAACTTTGGGCAGAATTTGGCACAGAAATGTGCAATTTAATAAAGGCAGATGAGACAAGGACTAGTATTTTGCCCTTGTAGGTTCTCAAAGCAGTTAATGAGCAGCCATTAAGCCAGCCCCAGACACTCCTGTGGGTGGTAGATGGAGAGAATTATACCTGCTTTGTGGAGAGATGGTTCAGTACAAAACCCAAATCAAATGAAATGGTTCTGAATCATGCCCTATGGCTAAGAAGGCTAAATTTCACTTTCAGTCACATCAGAAGAATCCTAAATAAACCCTAACTGGAGCAAAATCAGAGGAGCCCCCTATTTGTATTGACCAACATCCATGCCCAGCCAGAACCCAGTGCACGGATATAACCCAGGGATAATGTCATCTAAACATTTTCTGAGCATTATTTTGCAGTTTGGAGCAGAGGCTCATGTCAGCTCCTTATTTTTCCCTATCCCCCACCCCTCTGTCCTAGTTTTCATTGATGTCACTTGTCCTCTGACCAGCAGCTCTGTTCCAAGACCTATAGCATTTGCCTCGCCAGAGCTGGGTAAGCTGCCGGAAATCCAAAGGCAGGTCTTCCCCTGGAAACATTGTGTGAAATGTATGATGTGCCTGGTTTTAACCACAGCTGCTCTTTGCAACCTTGAGTTTAGACCCTGCCTTTTGACACCGTGCTATCAATGTCTGTATCCATATGCCCTGATGCTGCTCTTATTGAGAGCTGCCCACTTTTGTGCACCCCCTACCCAATGTGAAATTTGGTGTTGAGTGAGCCCTCGCCCTGACAAACTGAAATCTCTAGGGCACCACTCAAATTCCTTTGATTCAACCTCCCATGTCAGACAGTTAGTGGAAGCATGCACTGTAAAAGACCCCAGCGCTGAACTTGCTTTAATTGGTTTACAGATAATGGAGATCTACAACTACTCCGGATATGACTATGACTACGGAAATGTTTCTGATATCGATTACAGCTCGTATAGCTTGGGGCCTAGCTCATTGCACAACACAGAGGAAATTATTAGGATCCTTTCAGTTGTAATCTATAGTGTCACCTGCCTGCTGGGGATCGTGGGGAATGGTCTGGTCATTGCAATCATAATTTTCAAGATGAAGAAGTCTGTCAATGCCATTTGGTTTCTTAACCTGGCAGCTGCTGACTTTCTCTTCAGCGTCTTCCTGCCCTTAAATATTGCTTACACAGCTATGAAGTACAACTGGATATTTGGCACAGCCATGTGCAAGCTGAGCTCCTACCTCTTGAACCTCAACATGTACACCAGTGTGTTTTTGCTAACCATGATCAGCATCGACCGCTACCTCTTAGTGTTTTTCCCTATCTGGTCCCAAAACCATCGAACCCCGAAGCTGGCGTGTCTGGTTTGCTTCATCATCTGGACAATCAGCTTCATGATGAGTTCCCCGTCCCTGATTTTCCGGGACACTGAGCATGTCGGCCAAAATGTGGTTTGTTTTAGCAACTTCTCTTTGTCCAGTAATAAGTCTTATCACTCTCTGGGTGTGATGAGGCACAAGATGGTGACTGTCACTAGGTTTCTGGCAGGGTTCGTCATTCCCATCACCATCATCACACTCTGTTATATCCGCATTGTCTGCAAGCTGAAAAACAGCCGCCTCGCCAAATCCAAAAAGCCCTTCAAGATCATTGTCACCATCATTGTGACTTTCTTCCTCTGCTGGAGCCCCTACCATATCCTGCACTTCCTGGAAATGCAGCCCCACAAAACCTCCTTGTCAGTATTAGAAGTTGGCATCCCCATCACCACGGCACTTGCTACTTTTAACAGCTGCATGAATCCTGTCCTTTATGTCTTCATGGGCCAGGACTTTAAAAAATTCAAGATAAGTGTCTTCTCCAGACTGGTGAATGCCATAAGTGAAGACACTGCTCACTCCAGTCTTGTTCACAGGAGCTTCTCTAAGACGGTTTCGATGACTGAGAAGGAGACTATACTGCTCTAGTCCCTACCTCAGATGCTTTTGGCACCCAAAACACAGACTCTTTTCAGTATTTCGTAGGGGAAGAGGCAACTGCACTGAGATCTAGGAGTGTGTCCTGAGCTCTGGTTTCAGAAGACATTTCAGGGGACCTTAAGAAAGTGCCTGTATTTTCTTGATGTAATCTGTGTATTAACTCGATTTTGTGGCCTTACTGCATCTGATACAGTGCCATAAATTTTCAGTAGAGATCCTCTAGTTTGGAGAGCCAGCAAATCAATGCCCTTGGTCATGAAAAATTGGACAAACCACTGGGTATTTTATATGCACTCAGTGCTTATGATGGAAGGTCTTCACGTGCCTTTTCCTCCTCCTTCCACACTTTCTTTCTTATGCCTCCCAAACTGCTTGAGAGAAGGAGATCGTTACCTTAAGTCAGACCGAGTCCAAACCTCGGATAAGGATTTGGAATTTGGACCTTTGTGGTCAAGACGCCTTTCCACCTTGCATATTGCTGACTGCTGGACTAGTTCATTCAGTCAGTCTCTTGCCCAAATCAAAGCCTTAAAAACTGTCCATCCTTGCACTTCACTCTGTGCTCCTGGTGATTGCACACATGCACACACAGTCATGTACATGTATAAATCTCACTTCGTGCCAGCAACTGCACAGTCTATAAATTGCAGCCCTGGTTGAGACAATACCATCTTAAATGACTAGACAACCAGGTCATGCTGAAGTTTATGGAGTCCAAGGAAACCACAGAGACTTATGACCAAGAGAGAGAAACATGCAGAGCAGGGAAGCCGGGATTGCTTCTTAAAATATATGTTGGGGAGAAGACCGTGACTTGTAATGCTTTACTTTGAGATCATCTTTTGAATGCCCATCACACCCGGTGGGCTGAAAGGATGATTATCCTATAATTGTAATACATACTGCTTATCCTGGGGGGGAAATCATGTTAGACATTGTATATAGTGATGCATATAGCCACTTAACCAGCCTCTTAAAGGCACATAATATATTGGTAGCAGCACAACAGGGTTTTCAGCTGTCTGCAAACACTCCCTACTCACCGAAGCAGAGCAGGTAAAGAAAAAAGAACAAAAGCTGGACGGCCGCAGCATGGGGGTTAGCATCCGTTCTTATGACACCATGCACGTGTTTCTGGTACACTGATTTCCAGTGCTGCTGCCTGATTTCTCCTTCGATGGAAGCCAGCACAGCACATGGCAACCCTAGTCAGGAATAAAGTATCTAATTAAAATGAGCCCAAATGAAAATCCCATTAGGGGAGACACTACATGGTCATGTTAGAAACGGCATATGGTTTTATTGAAATGCCTCTAAAAGCCTAAAACATTTAATGCCGAATTAATCCCCTTCCTGCAGTCTTTTGAATTTGCTATTAATTCTGAGGAACAGAAAACAAAATCTCCCTAAGGTGCCTGGGCCATTGTACGATGCGAAACAAATTTGCCTCTTGACCCCTGCAGCAATTGGCTTAAGCTCAGAGGCAGGGGATTAGTTTTCAAAGTAGGGGTGGACAGCCCTGATCAGAAGGGTTTAGCTGTAATGGGTGAGAATCTCGGATCGAGCGATGGAAGCGGGCAGACAGAAATATGCGCAGGATTCCAGATGTCATCGCATTTTTTAAATTGAAATGATAGCTTATTGGCACCAGCAGGCAGTATAAAGGCTCTTAGAAAGGAGAAATCTCTTGACCGGACAAATCAGCTGCCTAAGAGCTGTATCCTCGATGTGTTTTAATCTATAAATAGGATCAGCAGG